AAATGTATAGCTCTAAGTGATCAAAGAATTCGATGACAGCTGTATTGTGAGTCCTGGTTTTGTGAATAATTAGACATCCACATAATTTATAACGAGTACTTCTTCTGATTCTGTTGAGACTATTCATACTAAAATTAAGCATGTGTATAAAAGCTTGCAGGGTTATTTTCTTACCAGTATTGCACAGAGATGTCCTGTTAGCATATCTTTAGATATACAGTTGTCACTCATTAACCAGACTTTTACTCATCAATAGGCTGCAGATAATGACTCTGCCAAAGAGTCAATCTAGGATACTTTTTTTAACATTTACCCAAATTACTTTATTAGAGATGGAGAGCAACTAGCGTTTTAAAGTGTTTTGTTTTAAATATACTGTTTCTGTTGTGTGCTGAGTGGAACAGGAATTAACAGAGCTATAAATGCATAATTTCAGTGTAAGGTGTTAATAATTGCTCATAGTGAATTAATTTTTAAGTCACTCTTGCACAGTGAGCTGTAGTTTCAGACGGGAAATATTGCGAGGAGAAAGAAATTTAAACTTATTTAATGCTTAGTTCATTTAAACTAAGCCTAAATTAAGTTAATTTTAAACGGATTTGCCTTTATTCATGAGAATTTTAGACCCTATCGCTTCTATGTAGTTACATCTACTGGATGGCTTTGCAAATAGTGGCATTTAAAAAAGAGATGTACAGATAAGTGCCTGCTGTGTAGATGCTGTGTCTACTTTTTCAAAAAGCTGTCCCTAATGTAGTCTGAGCTGATGGACAGCCTGTACCCTGCAGTCAGAGCCTGGGATGTAGGCTGAGTACAAAAGCAGTTAGCACATGTTACCCTAATCCATATGAATCAGCCTGATTTGTTTTTAGCCTCTTCATAACTTTGGAGGAGGTCTATCAAGTGCCATTTCCTTCTCCATATAGATTTCTAAATGTGCTTTTTGCCCTGTTGGGTGTCAGCTGGAGCATTTTGTGTCCTGAGTCTCATGCTCAGCACTTCAACATGTATTCAAGGCCCCCATCCTAAGCTGCTGCGTACGTTTGTGTAACCTCTATGTTAAAACTTATACACACCTGCTCATTCACTTGAAGGTTGTGTGTATTATTTACTGATCTCTTATAGCTGAGTGGAAGGAAAAAAACAAAATTCAAAGATGTGAATATGCTTGTAACTGAAGGTACGTAGTAAGCTTATAGTCTAGATTTTGTAACCGTTGATCTAACTTTTCCAAAGCACGGTTCTTGGGAGCGTGACGGATGTGAACAGATTTCAGGTTAAAAACTCAAACTTCCAGCATGTATTAGCTTCCTGCTGAATTATCCAAAATGACTGTGTACAGTAAGGAGCTAGAAAAAGGAGATCTAAAGAGATTTTTTCCATCTAGAAAGAATTATAATTTGAGCACAATTGTGCATTCATAAAATAGTGATCATAAAAATCGTTTAAGTGCAATACATAACACTTAAGGAGCATTTTAATTGTGCGTGAAAAGCACTGTATTGTTACGTGGGATTGTTGGAAGGCTTATAGTGTTGTTCATAGGTACTAAATCAGGGTATCCTTGCTGATTATGGGATTAGGCTAGAAGCACAAATATAATTTACTCATGAGGCATATCTGCTTTGCAGGTGAAGTCTGGTGGGAAGGTTCATGTTGTCCTCCACTACCTGGCCAGTGTACTGGCAGCTAGGATGTTGCCATCCTCTGGCAATTTTTGCAAAGTCTGTGTGTGAAAGAACCCCGAGATATTCTGCACACCCAACTTCCTTTTTAAGTAATCTTTGTGTTACAGTGTTAGCAAACCAGTACTGATCAGGAAAGATGTGTGTAAAGAATGAAGGGTTTTATTAATGAGTGCCAAATACTGCTATTTAGAGTTGAAAATACATAGAATATCTCATTAAAATCAATGTTGATTTTTAAGGGATTCTTTATATGAGGAAAGTACAGAAGTTTCTCATAAAGGGTTAACACTTTAGCCGCTGTTACCATTAATATCAAATAATCCTATAAGAATTAAAGACTGTAAAGTATTTGAATGGTGTAAGGCCACTAGTTGCTGGCACAGCACAAGAAGTAATGTACAGAGTTGTCTGTAGTTCTTACTGTTTCAGATATCGGCACCTTCCTAGCGTAGCTTCTCTCCTCTTTCTGTCTGGCAGTGAAACTGTAATCCTGTTGTACAGAGTAATGGTTTATGGTGATATGGCTGGACTCAAGGGTCAGCTTTAGGACTTCCCAGAAGCACCAGATAAAAGAAAACACACAGAGGAAGAGACTTTGTTGTTAGGAGTGTCATAGGATGAGGATTACAACTGGTTATCTCCCTCCATAAAAAGTCAAGGATAAAAGTGGGCTTACAAAGAGAGCTACTATTAATGTACTTTAAAATAGTTACATAGCAGGCTCAGATGCCACAGTTGGATGCCATGTGGAGACCTGTAGTGCCACTATTACCTACTCGGTGGGTGTAGTGACAGCCTGAAGGTTGATGCTCTTTGGCTCTTTTTCCCAAAGAGTATGGAAGAACAAATTTGATAGTAATACAGTGATGTAACATCAGTACGTTAATACTTGCTTTGGCTGCACGTTGTGGCTTCCCTGTAAAAAATAAAATTTTAAAAACTTAAAACAGCTTTAGAAGCACTGCAGCAACTATGGGAATTCTGCCATGTCAGGGCAGGTGGGGTTGTGTAAACTTTAATTATGGGTTAAGAAGCTGAACCACACTGATAAATAAAACACAGCAGCAGCCTTACCCAACTTCTTGCAGTTCTGGTTTTGTAGATGTTAATGAATCAGAAGGGTGAGACCAACTACACAGAACAGAAGCATCTGAAATGTATGTTCCTGAAAATAACTTTGCCTTCATCTGGTGTTAAATGAATTTTAAATTAGGAATTTTCCCTTGCCTGCTTAGTCTGTAGGGATTAGTTATTTCATGATCTTCTGAAATGCCTGGTGCATTACTATATTTGAGATATTTGCTGGTTTTTAAATGGAATTAGGTTTTGTAAATATTTTGTCAACCCCATTTCAGTGGGTGTCCAGTTTATATATAACCTGAAGAAATGCTGTGTCAAAAAACTGTGTTTAGACATGGTTTATCCTATAGCATCTCAAGCGCTAAGTAACAGCAATTACAATTTGAGAGAGCAGGGAGTGATTGCTTAAGATTGTTTTTCACATTAATATTGTATGTGCTTCCCTACTTCTAACACAGAAATAGAATTTCCTCCAAATACATTTTCCAGCATAAAAGATGAAATAATTTGTGGTGCCAAACACTTCAAACTGTGTTGCTAAGCATTGCCTCCTCTTATTGCACTAGTTTTAAAATTCAGTTTTTGATCATTTACTGTCCTTTTGATGGCCTTTTTAACAGATTTTCCCCAAACCATTTTCTACTGCTTAAAAATGCTCATGTCCTTTTGATAACATCGCTGAAACCTCAAAGAAGTTTACCACAGACTGTGGGTGAAGTAATAAACCAGAATGATAATTGGACTTTGGTATATTGCAGAAATGTAAGATTAATATATGATTGAGATGTGATTGTGTATTCTTACGGAGTGATATACTGGAATATTCTTTTATAAGAAATTTAACCCATGCAGGATTAAATTCTGTAATTAAATCTATGTCTATAATTGATATATAATAATGTAAATTATAACCCCAAAATTAAATTTTACAGTTGAAGAGCACACAGTGAACTATGTAAAAATATGATCTTCACCTTGTGAATCTTTTTTTTTAAAAAGCACTTTCCTATTACCAACTAGCATGTGAATGAATTTTAGATTCTCTCATTTGTTACAATCTGTAGAAGTGAAATTTCTTTAATCTGTCTGTTAATGGGTAAATTCATCATACAAATGCTGAAACAAAGCACCTTATACTATGCTGCTTAAACTTGCTTGTAATTGCACCTTTTGTTATCTGCAGATTTTTCTTAATGAGTATTCTTGTGTGGTATCATTGTTCCCTGTAGGTCTGGGTGAATGATTAACCAACCTACAGCATCATTTACTTATAGAGTTTCTATTTCAATACAACATTGTATTGTGAGTTCAGTGCTTCAGAAATAAATGCTACTTCCATTTGTCTGCTTTGGTTGTGTATCATTTATTTCTCTTCTACAAAATTAAAGCAAGACCTTCATAAAACTAAGAATTTGAAAATTAAGAGAGTATTTTCACTAGAAGCCTGACTAATTCTTCCCCTACTGAAGCAGTCCCACTTCAAGTTTAACTATTTTAATTTTAAAGTCATTTTGGCTTCAAAATAAAGAATGGCTTAAATTAAAACGTAATTTGACTTTGGGCATGTATTTATGTATAGCAACCAACCTTGCTGCTTATTGCTCTGACTGTAATTATTTCATTTTTAATATGTACATATATACATTAGAGGAGCAGTAGCAAAGAAATAATGACACATCACCACCTTTCCTGTAGCTGTGGAAGTTGCACATCTTGCACTATTTTTGTACTATGTAAACAAAGTTTATATTTCTGTAGGAGTTGTAGTTTTACATTAACTAAAACAATTTATTTCTCATTAAACAAACAACCCTTAACTTAAATCAAACTGACAAGACATCACACTTTAACAAGAAAATAAACTTCAAAAAATTGCAGAAGTTTTTTGAACCTTTGATAGTAGTTTAACACATGTACATAACTGATAAAAAGGCTCCAGCTTTGAAAAAGACTTTATTGCATTTTGTACTATAAAACCTGAGATCATTTCCATTTAAAGCAAGTGTAAAATTTGAGTAATAAACGTAAGGTTTAACTGAAAACTTGTTTTTTGTAAGTAGTGGTCTTTTCTTAAACCCGTACTTAAGTTAAATTCTCTGAACTGGCAGGTGTGCTTACTGCCCACTGGAACCTAGTGTGGAAGTGCACAGTGTCCCACAGGCTGGTGCAATATTCATTACAATATTGGTGGGCGCTGGACTTTTTTCCGTGGGTTGTAGCTCTTTTCCTTGTGTTTCCTTGTATTATCTGTAAGGACATGGTCACAGAACATCAGAGTACCCACTTCTGTCGCACAGCACTTATTTGCAGTCTTTTTCAGTCAGCAGCTCGTTAACAGATTACAATTACTGTGCCTGGTTTATCAGCTGGCTCTGTGTTTTCATTGTTAAATGGCATAAAGCAGAATTTCCAGCTGACAAATGGATCTGTAGACCACATCTCCTCTGTCAATTCAACATCGTGGCATCGACACCAGTATGCTACTGCAATGAGAAAGCTGTTGATGAAGTACAGCCAGGGGACGTTCATCTCCATGTAGGCTGGAATCCGAGCACCAAGAAACAAAATGATAATTTGAAGAAGAACAAAAGGTGCCCAAGTGCCAAGAAAACAGAGGAGGAGTCTGGTCAGGAGCTGCCACTTAAAGCTAGTGCCGTTGTTGTTAGACACATAGGAGAACATCAGAACAGGCTGATTGGCAAAGGAAACCACCCTGACAGACAGCAGCATGGCTATAAGCTCCTTCTGACAAGCCAGGAGAGCTGTGCCCATGAGCAGCACCATGGCACACGAGATAGAGTAGCTCTGCATGCTGGCGTAGAGAGGACACTGATAAGCAGAAAAACGGTTCTGAATTTCTAGTTCTTCATAGGTAGCGGGAACTTTCAGAATACAAAAAAACCCTGAAATCCATGTAACAGCCACAGCAAATACATAAAGTAATCTTTGACCTCTCCTAGGAAATTGAGAGGTTTGTGCTATAGTCATGTAATAATCCAGACCAGCCACAAGATACACCGGGTAATGCAAAATACCGTAGGTAAGAGAAATAATCTGCGTGAACAGGCAAATGTGGTACTTTGTAAATCGCAGACCCCAGAGTGCAAAGTCCTCAAAATAGAAAATGAAGGATATACTCATCAGCAGTGTGAAATCAAGAAGTGCCAGCGAAACACAGAAGTATCCCATAAAACTAACTTTCACGTTTTTTTGCTTAACTTGCAACATGAAGAAATCAAGGAACACTTTTCCGAGCATAATCAGGAGCAACGTGCAGCTGATTTCAAGAGGTTGGTTGACCTGGGTGTAGTGGTACTGACCAGAACAGTTTTCACAGAGTATGGCAGCCATCCTCCAATGGTGACAACCAGCAAAATCAGTATCACAGGGCATAGTGCTTCATCTCTGAAAAGAAAAAAAAAGTTTGTAAAAATTTATTTCTGGGTACCTCTACCAATTAGCTAATTCTCCATCACAGCAGCTACCAAATTTACATCTGATTTTTCCAGGCTCCTTAATTAAGACTAAATAGCTTCACTAACACATCTAAATTGTCAAAAAGTGCCTAAATTTTATGTTCTTTGAATTACATTCTTGAGAGTTTAAAGGTCAACATAGACCTTATAAGGTACTTTTCTAGCTACTGTCCTAAGGAAAGGTTTAGGAAATAAGGTTGACTGCGTTCCTTTCCTTTAGAAAGCATGGGGGTCTTTCTGTCCAGCTGGGCAGAGGGATGGATGTTTCGGAGCCTCTACATATTTTGAAGAAATCAGACAAGCACATAGGACAGAAATCATACAAGACACAGGAGGTGTTACGGCATGGCCTCACAGTTCATTATGCTCATAGAATCTATATGGAATTGAGACTGCAGAAATATCCTGAAAGCAGAAAAAGCATCAACCCAACTCATGCTTTTTCAGTGCTAAAATCCTGGAACTCTGAGGCAACAGAAAGCACACACGCTTCATTAGTTGATCGGGCCTTTTTGTTCATCCTTCAGCAATGTAAGTACTACAATGATAGACAGCTCAGAACTTTTTTCCCCTTGGACTTCTGTAAGTTTCCTTATGATAGCTCTTTTCTGTGTTAATTCCTAAGGAAAAGGAACACAGGATGGCTTCGTATATGTCAGCAAGACGTATTAGACAAAGCTGTACATGCTTTCTTCTCTCTTCCCTGAAGAAGCACGATGGTGTCAGCATTCTCAGCAACAGCAGAGGAAAGCTGAGAAGCAAGGCAGCTGTAAAAAGGCATTGCCGCTTCGGATCTCTGTTAACAGTGATTCACTTGTATCTAAATAGACGCCTACATTTTATTACCAGCTTGCCAGAGCTAGTGAACATTTGAGTTAGTGTCTCCTGAAAAGCAGACTAGGAACAACTAGAAGTACTCGGCGGTACAAGTGGAGACGTACCCGCTGAACTCGGTTACGAGCCTACCTGGGCTTGCCGCTTCACTCTTCATCCGCACAAGTACATTTCATCCTCTGAAACGTAACACATTCTACAGTACAAACTCCAAACGGCCTTCCGTGTGCCTTCTGTCTTCAAAGATGCTGCACTTGCGCGTGCAGAGAGGAGGAAACCCGCAGGCAGAACTGGGTCACGCTCTGTAAGCCATCGCTCCGTTTGTACAACCGCAACGCGAACTCACCTGTTCGCAGGTTAGGCCTTTCCTCTCCGGTGCCGAGACCGGGGCACAGCAGCAGCGGCGGGAACAGCGCTCATCCTGCGGGCACAGAGGGCACTTGTGTCCGCCGTCCCCCGCACAGGCCTTTTTTCCCCGGGGGGGGCCCTCAGGACCTCCACGTCCCTCCTCCACCCCGGCCCTCCCCGCCTCCGGAGGGGTTTCTGTTCTTCCCGGCAGCGCTCCGGTCCCCCGCCGGGATGAGGGAGGCGGCGGGGGCCGCCGGGGGGGG